AAGTTGAGGACTGGGAAGAGGAGAAGAGGGTTTGTAACGGTCGGTAACGGCGACGTTAGCGTTTGGGGTAGGCTAGTTTGAACCTCAAACGGACTCTTTCTTGATTAATTCTTAACCGTTGGATTTCAAAGAGAGCAATTGAATGCGACGTTTCAACTAAGGGGCTGTTTGGTTGCACACTTTTTAAGAAAACTTTTCTCAAAACATCTAACAATGGTAAATTTGTAATTAAAAGTTTTTCAGAGATTTCTGTAAATTGTGTTTGGTTCAACAAAAAATTTACAGAAATATTTTCTATAAAATATCAAAACCTACCAAATTTTACAAAAAGCAATTTCCTCTCAAAATGAGAGGAAATCACCAGAAATCTGACACATACCATATTTAATTAAAAACCTACCAAATCTTATTATTTTCTATAAAGTTATGAGCTATTTTCTTGTTTTGAACCAAACAAGCAAAGTGCAAAAAACAAGAAAATTGGTACTTTTTGATTTCTCAAAACTTTTCCTATAATTTTTTTAAGAAATACAAGGAAATCATATTTTAGGTGGAAAACATTTCCTATAATTTCTAGAAATTGAACCAAACACCCCCTAATCTAGGGTTTTAATTTATGGAAGTTTAATTTTACTTTTTTAGATTATATGGTTATGTAATCATTAGCTTCAGCTACATTGAAGTTAACAAATCCTAATCAAATAAAATCTTTTTTTGATTGGTTGTTGTTACGATCTTAACTCCAACCATGACAACTGATACTTACATTGAGAAAAAAATTTATTAAGATGTGAAATTTAAAAAAAAAAATCTCTCCTTATTAAATTTAAGAATCCATTCTTAAACCACAACTTTATATATTTGATAGATGTTCATGATATGACTTGGGTAAAGCATGACAGTGTAATAAGAGTGTTACATACTGATAAACTAGCTGAGAGATTATAATTTGATTTTGTTTTTTTTTTAATTGATGATATTCTGTGATATCTTTTATGGGGTTAAGATTACAATTGCTTTTCTAAGCGTCTAAAGCTAAGATAAGATTTTAATTTTTAGATATATATCATGGAATCTTAATGAGTGTTTTGGTGAAGTCGGTTGATGCGCTTTTGGGTGTAAAAAGTTTGTCGGTTAAGGGGCCTAAGATCACAACTAATCGTGTTTGCTCTCCTACTGTTTACTTAATTATTTTTTAATTTTTTTGAGTTTTTGTTTAGTTATCTTAGACACAGTCGTTCTCTATTTTTAATGATGATTATGATCAATTTTAAAACTAACTTGGATTTGGATCTTTTCAACGAACGCAGATTTAGATCTTCGCAACAATGAGCTATTGAATAAAGTACTGGTATAGCGAACTCATAATCTTTTTATATGTACTGGTATAGCGCACGTGCTTTGCACAAGAACATATATGTTTTGTTTTATATTTTTTAATTTTTTTTGTTAGCTGTAAAATATGAAATGGCTTGTATAGCAATGTAAATTCTAAACAATTATAATTTTATTTCAATGAATGAATTGTACGATAAAACTATGCATAAATAACTGTATGATTACTTATTATAGTTTGGATAATTATTATAATTTATTCATAATTTATTAAAATAACTACAATATATTAAATAGTTCATTTTCTTTTAAATATAATAATATTATATTTGGTATAATTATAATACTATTAGTAACTATATTTGCATTTAATAGTTAGTTTATTACATTGTTAGTACATAATTTACTAAATTGTATAATTATTAAATTATAATGTAATTTATTAATTTAAAAAATACTATTAAAATCATTATAATATCAATTATATTACAATTATAATAAATACAAATGGGTTTTCATACTATTATCATATATTTAAATGGCTAATAAGATGTAAGCTAACATGTTGTCCTCCATAAGAGGTGAAATCCAAATATGTAAGGCATAAGCCTAATGAATTATTTTTTTTAAAATTATTCTAAAATTTTTAATATTATGTGAAGATAAATTAGGGATAAATTTCAAAAAAATTAATAAATAACATAATTAAATAATAAATTTATAGTGTGACCAAAGGTTTTGAATAAGTGAGGAAATGTATAATTAATAAGAGGTTATATATAATTAGTGAATGATTAATTATAAATAATGATATATTTGAGAATTATCAAACATGAAAGGGAAAAAATGGAAATAAAAATTTTTGGCAAAGCAACATCTTTATATGTAATGGTGAATATATATAATATATAATATATATATATATATATATATATATATATATATATATTATATATATATATATATATATTATATATTATATATATATATATATATATATATATATATATATATAATATATATAGAGAGAGCAGAGAGAGAGAGAAAGCTTATGTCAACTTAAAATAATGGATCATCCACGCAAACTTTTTATCCATTGATGATACATAGGGACAATATGAAAATATTATATATATATATATATATAATATAATATATATAATATATATAGTATATATATATAATATATATATATATATATATATATATATATAATATATATATATATTATATATATATATATATAGGTAATGTTTTCCTATGTGACACATTAAATTCTCAGCCTAAGGACGCGGGCAAAAATCACATCATTCCTTTTTTTTTGCCGATCTGCTCCGTTGAACTTGATCTACACACGTTCTTAAACCCAAACACATCAATTTTGAGGTGAACCCGTCCGTGTTTTGACGCCTTCGTTGAGTGCGCCGGCTGCAAAAAAGCTCTATCATTCGAAACCCGTCTAAATTGCGGGAGTGGATGAAGTCAAAACATGACGGATCAACCCCAAAAGTGATGTGTTTGGCTTAAAAGACGTATAGATCAAGTTCAACGGAGCAGATGCGTAAAAAAATTAGGGAATGATGTGATTTTAGACTGCGTCCTTAGGTGAGAATCTAAGGTGTCACCTTAGGAAAACATTTCTCATATATATATAGTATATATATATATATTATTTATATATACTAACTATATATATATATATATATATTAATATATATATATATATATATATATATATAGAGAGAGAGAGAGAGAGAGAGAGAGAAATGGGTATGCTTGGTACCAAGCACAAATTTTGTGCTTGGTAGTGAGGTGTCTCATTCCCATCCACTCATTCAATTAGGGGGACCACATTCAACCCATGTGAATGTGATCTCCCCATTTGAATGAGTGGAGGATAATATGTCATCTCACTACCAAGCATACCTCCATTTTACTGTTTACGATACAACATTTTGTTGCAGCAGACGGACTGAGGGTCGATTTACCATTAATGGTACAATATTTACTATAGCATGAGTAGTCATTCTTTAGATCCTCCTATAATGTTTGGTTGGCTGAGAAACTAAAAAAATGAAATCAAAACACCAGGCATATCTATGTGAAGGTGTTTGATTTCCTTTTCTTGTGTTTGGTTGAGAGAGGGAAAAAAAGAGATGTTGTGCATGTGGTACCCACCCACTAGTAAGATACTAGTGTCATGAGTCTCAAATTTAAGAATGCTCATTTCCTCAAATGGGCTTGAAAACATAAAAAATGGATCCCACAACCTATTTCTCATGAGTAATCTTCCAAACTTGGGTTTCTAGAAAATGAACCAAGCAGCCCCTAGGTATAGGTATAGAGGAGTAAATAACTACGCTAGTTTGCATTACCATTTGATGCGTTCTACTCTGCTATTTTAAAGCTACTCTGTTTAATGATATTTTAATACTACTTTTACTGATTTTGTAAATGTACTTTTTGATGATATTATATATAAAATAAACAATGTTGAGTCACGGCCCATTATGCATTGCCTGGGCTGAATGTTTGGCCCGACAATTCAAAACACGAAAGAAACAGAAGGAGGAGCTGACTAGCGAAACAAAGAACAGGATTGGCGAGACATAACTAATGCGCTCCTTGGGAGCTTTTTTATGCGTTTGCAGAAGGCATCAGCCAAAAAATATATGTGTATACCATCTTAAATTTAGCTCCTTTAAACATTACATTAAAACTTCGAAGTTATGATAATGATCGAGAATTATAGTTTTATATTAATTTTAACAATCGATAATTACTAAAAATCAATCACGAGGTTTTTCTTACTATTGTTGATTGAATTAGTATAATGTTTTGTGCAATAGCGTTTTCCATTTTGGTATCAAGGTTATTGTGTTTGCATTCATAGCTTTGAGTCCTACATTTCTGATGAATTATCAAGGTTATTGTGTTTAACGTCATTCGAGAGCAAAATATTGCATATACATACAAGAAAAATCATCTTATCCTCCAATTCTAAGAGTTTAACGTGATTCGAGAGCAAAGAATAAGAAATACTGCGGTACAATGCTGGGGCAACAAAATGGAGCCAAAATCGAAATTCTGCTTCTAATCAATCACTTTGGATGTTTGAACGATAGCTTCATAATAATTAACATGTTCTGACAACCTGTTGTATTTCCTGGAGAGATAAATAATCATAAAAACATTTCATATAATGAAAATAATAGATATGAGGTGATAAACAGAATTTAACACTCGTTTACATACTAAAACGAGATTGAGTAAAATGGTACATACCTTCTTCCATTGTTGAATGTAATGAACACCGAATTGCCGATAATTGTTCTTCCTTGTCCACTCCACAACACAAAACCGAGATGATGGATTATTATCACAGGACTTGGTTATTGATCATACATTGTGTGTGGACAAATGACTCTCTTTATAGAACTCCTACCATCAAGGAGTTCATAACTACCCAATGTAGTTAAAAAAACCACTAAAGTAGTTAATTCCAAAATTCAATTTCAAATTGCTATTAATGTCATATAATAGAATATGAAGAGTCAAAATTCTAACATTCTCCCACTGGACTCAAATATTATATTAATGTTCTAATGACATAACAATAT